AGTTTTTACCATACCACGATAAGTTTTATAAGATATACACTACATCGGTGATATGTCGTTACGCTGGTTTTGTCAGACTGGAAAAAATATTATAAAAAACTTTTATTTATATCGGATGGTAACTCCGCTTTGTTTTTTTATTGGATTAAATTTCTTTGTCAAATTCTGAAGAGCAAAGAAATTAATGTCTGTATTAAAAAAAGGAAAATATCGGAGATGGTGGTTAAATATCGAAATATTAATACAAGCAATGTAATAATAAATCATATACTATTTTACAAGCATTTATGTACAAATTTTATTCTTAATCTATAATTGAGGGTACAGTTTATTTGTACCTGCAATGATTAATAAGCACTAAAAATTTATAGCTTTACTTAATATTATATAATGTAGTAGATACTAAATAGTAAATAGTAATTCACATATTATTATAATATGTTTATAAAATAATGAGTATATAAATAAATTATATTATCGTTTTGACTTCTAAGTCGAAAAATCACAAGATATTAACCAAAAATGAATACAGTAAATTAATTATAATAATAATTTAACTATTGGCGGCAGTAGTTTTAAGAGTATTTATGAAGTGGTTAAATTTACAATCTATATACACAATTTTGAAGTAGAAGCCCATAGATTGTAAGTACTATTGAAATACATTTTATATGGTATGTATTATAATCAAAATAATAGTAGTGCTCATAAAAATGTAGTTAAACTATGTACATATATAGGTATAATTTCGCATAACTCATAAAAAAAAAAATCATCTGTAAAGAAATTTTATGTAGATAATAATTATTTTAAAAGTTATTGTTAATTTCATAGATTTGGTAGTTTTAGCTAAAAAAGAATAATAATATTTTACAACGTGACTAAGAGTTTGTTTTTATTTTTTAAACATCAATTGTTATGTATTAAACAACAATATTATAAAGAATTTAAATCTTTCTAAAAGTGTAAATTTTAATAACAAATAATATTTAATACAAATGTTTTAAATTTAAAAAATAGTCTTTTAGCCATATGATATTATATCTACCTATATTTTAAATTTTATTATGATAAAAACAGATTCTTAATCTATTTGGTAGTGATTTGATCAAAGTAAAATTTTAATATTTTTATCTTACGTTTTACATAATTTACAATTATCATAAGTAGGTAGGTAATATTACGCCTAATCGTAATTTAATAGTCAAAACATAAATATAATGCATAGTTACTTATTACGTAACTTTAAAGGTTTTTAATCTAAACAATACCAAGTCAAAACATTTTACCTTTGGAAAAAATATCAATAACAGGATGTCAGATACACTCAATACTAATATTAATAATTAATAATTATATACATATAATATCTAATAAGAAATATAATACTGTTTTATACATTTTACGTAAAAGTAATTTTACTTTTAAAACTAAAAAATTGTAGTTCATAAACATTTTTTTAAAGTGATTAAGTTATCAAATTATATTTTAAAATTTGAAATAATGTATATGGATTACGTGACGATCCTAAGTCCATGTAAGACATTTATTATTTCAGAAAACGTTTTTGAAAATATTTCTTTTTGATAACTTTAAATTGTTAAAAACATTTTTAGAAAAATATTTATTTTTTAAGTTTTTACTTTTTTGAATGAGTACATACAATTTTAATTCCACATTTCTATTTAGAATATATTTAGAGTATTTTTATTTATAAAAACCATATCTCAAAAAAGTAAAATATTAGTTATAGGTATTTAAAGTTTTGATGAGTAAAGTAGAGGACCAACGTTTTGCGGAATACCCTTGTACTATTAAAATCCGCTCAACTAGCTTTAAGTATTTATAAATTATTATCACTCGTTGATGTTTTTATATATCAAAGTACTCCAAAAAAATACACTTATAGAATAAGAAATTAAAAATGAATGCTCTCATCAGAAGAAAAAAAATTTCACAATAAAATATAGTAAAAGTTAAATATTTATCTACAAAACTGTGGTTTTTAACCACTCAAGATATTATATAAAAAATATATTTTCAAAAACGTTATTAGTTTTGAAATCATGAATGTTCCACGTTAAACAACGGTAAATAATGAAATATTATTAAAGAGTGACATTTAAAAAAATAATTTTCAAAAAATATCTTGGTTCGATTATTATTGAAAAATTTAATAGAAATCGAATGTCGTAAGATGAGTGATAATAATTATTGTTACAAGACATATCATTTTCAAACGTGATTTTAGAGAAAAATGAACTATTTAAAAATAATAAAAAAACTTTATGATTCTTATGTTAAATTTATTCTCGGTATTTAAAAATGCGGCGAAACGCAATAAATCCGAATATTATTAGTTCAATATGTATAGTTACAACTTGAACCACTTTCTATATTACGTTAAAATGCACATGTTTTTTACTATAAATATTGCAAACAAAATTAGAGTAGTAAAATTACATAGTGTACTATTTCCATTTGTTTTATAATGCCTGCTTAAATGCATATTATTAATCTTTTGTATAATTATTATTAAGTTATTTAATAAATTTAATCGTGTGAATTTATTTGAAAAACTTATTTATTACTTATGGTTGCTATATTATTATTATTAAAATACCTATCTAGTGTTATGGTTGTTGGTATAGTAAATTGCGTCAAAAGTGATGATGATCACTGATCAATGTTTTCATTTATTACACACTTATATTTATGTTAATTATTCAAATGTTTACTAATAAACCTTTTTGTACTTGTTCTTATGAGTTATGACTAAGTTAATATTATGTTACTATAAAAATAAATAACTTGATATTATTACAATTTATTTTTAAAATACATACTATACTAATAATATTATATTATATTTGATATTTTTATTTTACATTAATAAAAAAGGTATTGAGATAATCTTAAAAAGAAATTTATCACTTTTTACGGTATATATTTTGTTTAGTACTTAAATTGTTTACTCAAACATTATTTTATAAAAGTAATTCATGTAAATAAATATAACATACTATAGCAATTATACTAAAATTTAGTAAAAAACAAAGAAATAAGATAAGATTTTACTATGTTATAATTGGGTTAGATTTCCAGATATATCATATAACTTTATAATATATTATGATTTTATGAAAAAATTAAAAAATATAGTGATAGAAAGGTACGATCAATTTTTAACATCTCAATATATAAGTTTAAAATAAACAATTTCTAGAAATAACGTGTTATGGTAGAATATTGAACGCAAAATGATCTTTATTAATTAATCATACAAAAAGGCACTATATGATGAAAATATGGCATCATAATACAATTTAGTTATAAATTACGATTTTTAAATTACAATTATAACAATAAATTAAATCATAAACTTAATGATTAAATTTTTTTATCAATTTTTATCACTATTTTAGAATAATAGTTCCTAGTAATAGAAAATAGAAAATCGTGATTGATAGAGATTGTATGTTTTTAAATATCGTTGTTCTGTAATAATAATTTTTATTTATTACAATATACTACAACTACATACTATTGTCGTAACTTTTTTTTTCAAGTCTTTATTAATCCTACGAAATTAGATTAAAACTATTTTTCAATATTATAATAAATCTTTATTTTCGGTTCAATATTTTTAAAAATGATTAGAATTTAGGGAATAATTGAATAATACAATATTATACCTCGTAATTTGAACTTCAAATGTTTTAATGTATCTTTTACGTACAATATATTAAGATGGATTGTTAAGAAGTGTCCCTTTTATAAAAAAGACGAAATGGTAGAAATTAAATGCTTATTTTATTTTCGTTAAACGGATTGAATGAGTGAATAGCAATAAAATGATTCAACTTGTGAACTTATAAATATGAATAGTTAAGGTCCATACATTTATATGTACTCGTACAGTCGTACTCATCCAATCCTTTTATGCTTTTTGTGTCAATTCGTCTTATGATGACTTTAAAAAAATAATTTTACTAAAATATTATTTAATGATATTTATATGATTGTATGTAAATTAAATAGGCATATTATTATATATCTATATTTTATTTATCTTTATTATCATTAAATTTTTACTATGTTTCGTAGTAAATAAGGTTAGGTTAACAGAAGTAATCACTTATTTAGTTTTGTTATCAAATTGATGAATGTGTCTACTGATAACTAAATTTTTTCAGAATTCAGAAAGTATAAGCATACAAACGTGATTATAATTTATATTTAATTTTATTCGTGATATATATACGTATGGTTTTTGTTAATATATAATATTTAGCACACTAGCAGAATGAAACTCTTAGTTGTTTGTTAATAACATGTACATAAATTTAGAGATTATTAATAATCATAATAATTTATTCTAATTATTGTAATTCATAAAATTATTAATTTCATTTGTTACTTTATAATTTGAGCTACTTGTACTTGTTATGCCGGAGATTTGCACCTTAAAGTACTATTATTGAAATGAAATATTTTATTTTTAAACCGAACGCTTACCATCACAACAAATGTTTATGAATTGCGCCTGAAATGTTTTTCAAAATAAAATTATATAATACATTAATATAATATTATACTGTATTGTACTGATGCTTTAGCGGGTGCATGCATGTCGCGTTAAAAACGTTTAAGAATAATTATCGTTGTTTCTTATATCCCTGAGGCTTGGAGCAATTAACGCAAAGCTAAACAACACTAAACGCTTTTGGCCATGATGCAATCTAACCCGGTGTTGTTGCAGTTTCACGTTGTCGGGTGTCGTCGACTGCAAGAAGGTAACAAGGTCGTGTTCATGTTTTCGAAGTTTTCCGTAAAGCATTATCATTTGGTGGTTATTTAGCGGTAGGTATATAAACGGTAGCTATTGTCTCTCCAAGCATATTCTATGTTTAGTCTCTTGCCACGGACAAACAAAATAGTAATATTCAAACAGCAAAAGTTGTATCATACATTTATACCTAACAATATAAGACATTTTACACTTGTAAAAGACACGACGACGAGAGAAGATATCAGCTATGAATTGTATCCAAGTAAGTAATTATTATTCACGTATATTACATAGGTATAAACAACGTTTAATTAATTTCGCTTTTATATCGCTATATATGCATAATGCACATTACATAGAACAAAGTAATAAAAAGTTTCATATAGAGACTTCAAATTAACATTACCTTATTACTTGGGTATAAAAATATTCAAATTATGTTATTTATTTTTACAATACCTACCTTTTAAATTTTAAAACATTTTTCAATGTTTAAAATCAAAATTATCGAGCTGATTATAATCCATGTTTAAACCATATAGTTCCCAAAATATTATATTATAATATATTAAAGGGGAGAAAAATCACATTTTTTGTTATTGGACGTCGGTCCTTCCGGGCTCTTTATAAGAGTATAGACTTCCGAAATTCACTTATTTAATATTTTAGCGTAACCATTGTATTTTTAATAAAGTACATAATCAGTAGTTATTTCAATTTCGGTATGCGACATTTTAGTAGATACTACGTTTTTTGCATCTCTTAGTGTATTTTACATTTATTTTTCTAAGTAGGTCTTTGATGTTATTGCCTGTACGTATGTATTTTAGGTATGTTTGGTGTTGGTGTCTAGTTACACGATGTTGGCTTCGGCCGGTCTGACATCGTACAAGCTTGGGTACAGCGTTAACGATCTAAGCACCGTCGAGCAAGACGCGCCCGCAGTAGAGATGATCAAAGACTGCGACTCGTTGACGTCTAGTTACCTGGTCACTGGTTCCACTCCAGCGCCGATCATGCGCACTGCGGTTGATATCGAACCCGCCCGCATTATGTCCGTTACTCCATCACCAATCCTTTCCCCGATCTCTGAGTTTATTTCCGTGTCTACCCCGGCACCTATCCTTCGTACCGCGGTTGATATCGAACCTGCGCACATCACGTCCATGACTCCGTCGCCGATAATTTCTACGGCCTCAGAGTTTGTCTCTGTGTCCACCCCTGCACCTATTCTGCGTACCGCGGTTGATGTCGAACCTGCGCGAATCATCGACACAGCATCAATGAAGTTAGAGACCAAAATCGCACCTAGCCCACTGTTGAAAGCTTTCCGTCCAGCGCTTACGACTTTTGACTCGACCGCATGGCAGGCCAATCTGGAAAACGCTTCACCCGCTCCGATTGCTGTAAAGACGGTAACTAAAACCACGAACATTGGATCTTCGATGACCAGCGTGAAATTGGGAGCCATGCCAGAGATCCGCTCTCAATACACCACCTTAGCTACCGCTGCCCCGCTCATCGAATCCAAAATTGCCACGCCCATCCAAAACTCTATTCCAATCACTAAGTCATTATCCTCTAGAATCATGTCACTGCCATCCATGTCCTCATCGTACTCTTACATACCACGAACATACGCCTCATCTTACATCAACACGTACAGCGCTCCTCAATACTATTCAACCGCAACCAAATATTTAGCTGCGCCTCAATACTACTCGTCTTCTATGTCCACCGCACCTCAATATTACTCGTCTTCTATGTCCACCGCACCTCAATATTACTCGTCTGCTGCAACCATTGCCCCTCAGTACTACTCGTCTGCTGCAGCTATCGCTCCTCAATACTACTCATCTGCTGCCTTTGCACCTCAATATTATTCTTCCGTATCAGCCGCCAACGAACCATGTGACAAATAGACTTTTCGTTGACTTTTAACATGTATAATTTCTAGCCATTAAAAGTTATTTTATTATGTCAATTAAATAATTAAAAAAAATATTTAAATGTAATTTACTTCTGAAAAAGCATCATTTTTAATATTTAGAAAAATTGATGAATCGTTTAAACTGTTCATGATGCGATTAGACAAACACATTTGGAAACAAAATAGATATTGGTAAAAAAGTCATTCTTAGTAAAGCTTGGTTTGTTTTACAGGTTACGAGGCGTTCGTAAAATTTAAACGTTTCAAAAAAAGAATTTGTGAAAAATGAGCATAGTGGAATATATAATTAAATGAATGCTGTATACTTTTACTTAAAAAAATATTATTATGCCGTGGAATACTTAGTATATTAATGACCGTTAGTAAGGGTAATATATTTGAAATAAATATTTAATGATTTGTATTCTTTAGGTCACTTATTTCTAGGTTTGTGAAAATTAAAAGATTGTATCCTGTCTCAGAGTTTAAATCTTTTAAGGTTTGTTGGTTACGTTGTATAAATATATACATAAAAAAAAAAAAATATAGAATTTTAAATCAAAATAGTAATTTATTGTATGTAATAGTCTTAAATCCAGAAAATTTCACAATTATATTTAACTCAACCGAAGGCGTGTGTCTTTCAACCGATATTTAAATTTTAATCGCTTATTTTGTGGTTAATTAATTCATTTTAACAACACGAAGTATCAGACAGATTATAGTGAGTTTTCTTATTAATATGTATAATTTGTAATCAAAAACCGCAAAATTATAATTTTAAATGGCTCAGCTACAATTCAATTCAAACTTACACATATATAATATGAGTATAAGCTTTTAATGACAAAAAATAACTTTGTTATTTAGTCATTTAGGTCATAAAAAATTAAGTATTATTAACTACAATTTAATTTAGTGTGTCTAAACTTAAGTTGTATTTTAATTTTTTTCAAACTTTTTTGGCATATCAGACGCATTATCTATTACTAACGGATTTTAGTTTAAGATTAAAATATAGCATGAAAACTATAAAAATCTATATTACATCATCTTATTAAAATGACTGATATCTTTTAACGTTTCTTAGCCATTACTCATTAGATCTTATTTATCCTCGATTTGCATAGTTGCCAAAAACTGATGCTCAATAATATTATTTTATGAAAAAACATATCATTTATTTAACTATTTATGTGTATATACATTTTTATTTAGATTTATCAGCCAAGCGTTAAAACAAATAAAATATTAAATGTATATGATATCCAATTATTTTAATTTTGAACATTAATAATATTATGTACACGTATACATAATTGACCTTAATCTCGTAATTTATTTCTAAATAAATTTTAAGTGACTTTTTAATTATTATTGTTTATTTTTAATTTGAATTAATGAAGTATACATTTTTTCGTAGAACTGGACTAGCTCTTAAAGTAATCAATCAAAAGAAAGCCAGATATTAAATAATAATGATTATTAATCCAAAATAAACGTAGTAGATAGGTATGGAACAAACCAAGGATTTTAAATTTGTGAATTACAATATCATTTTACGATTGGTTTAATAGTAGTGTAAAATTATTTATAACAATATGATTTTTATATTTTTTTTTTTTGTTGCGTGGAGAGGAACACTCCATACTACGCCAATATTAAATAAACAAATCACACATCAAACTATTGTGTAGGTTAAACTACCAAATATATAATAATTTAAATAGCGATGCCAGTTAAAATTCATATTACTATGGCAAGCACGGCCGAAGATTATGATAAAATGTAAAAGATCTTTTTTCACCATTCCTTTCAATAAAATTTAGATAAATATTTTTTTTTTCAAAATATAACTTTCAGAATTTAAAATAAATATTTTTAAAGGAATATGTACAGCTATATATTTTTAAAATAGTAAAGTTCTGGCATTTGCTACAAATTCACAGCCCCACATGGCATATATAATATACACGTATAATGTAAATGCAGATTAATACAATTAGGTAGGTATTTTTCTTAAATCTGAAATGTTTACCCTATTACCATAACTTTGATTAGGGTGTAACGAATTATATGAAGTAGTAATACTTGTACAATATGTCTTTTTATTAATCGACAATGATAATAATCAAATCAAATAAAGGAAATATCAAACTCGGTTTTGAAATAATACCAAAGTGTTAAAAAATAACATATAAAGTGTTCTGAATTATTCTAAGAAAAATTAGATATATTATTTAGAATAATATATACTTGATGTACAGATGTACAGATGTAATTTTTATTTTTTGTATAGTTTTTTTTTTTGGTAGATTTTGAAGGTCGTTTTTCTTAATACTTAATAATTTTTTTTCTTTTTGGACGTTTTTTTCAACTACCATGATCACCAAGATGCTTCATTATATTTTAAGATACGTCAAAACATCAGTAAGTCTGTAAGCTGAATCATCATAACCGATAAAAAATAACTCGGTAGATTTTTAAAACAATAAAACTCGGTCAGTATAATATATTATATTTAATATTATGTAACTATGATGTCTTTACATAAACAGTGTCGATCCTTCCATAAAACTTACAATTTTATAAGGTATAATTATTCTATTTTGTAACTAAGCAGTGATTTGCTTGGTAATTTTTTTTACTATTGTTAACTTGATATCATTGTTGATCCAATAGTATTTTACGTATTTAAAGTGTCGATGTGCATATAAGAAGTGCATTAGGTAAGAGCTTTTGTATCTACTAACGAGTATCTCCACATTGCTCATTTAAAATTAAATGTGAAGTTGAGAAAATTAACCATTTTTATTTAACAAGCTGAATTGTTATCATAAAAAATAATTTAATTTAGGTAGATTCAAGCTACATAAAAAGTATAAATTAATTTGAGCGACCAATTTAAAAATTAAAAATTTTTTTTAAAAAAAATCTCTTATTTTAAACATTGAACATTAGCAAAATTAGTACTACCATATTTTTTTTTTTAAACCAAATTAATAAAATATTATATACCAAAGAAATGAAATATAAATTTCAAGAACCATTTATTAAATTTTAATAATCAAGTTTTTAAAAATTATGGTAAGCTGCGTTGACTCTCTTCTCTGGCTTAGCAAATAGTTAACTACACGGGTTAAATCTCGCTCTCGCGCTATATAGATACTGTGGTGTTGTATTTTATAAATGCTTTTTAAAGAAATTGTGTGGTAGTTTCTGTGCATTTATTGAAGTTATTTTTATAATATTTTATGAAAATATTCAAATAATATTTTTGATTTGTAATAATAATATTATTATTTACTTTATGAACTTAAATTACGAGTTTACCTACATAACATAACTGAGTTAAGTTAAAAATATTTGTAATCTGAAGCAACAAACTTAATAACACAATTATTATTGTTTTAAAATTGTATACTTAACATTTATTAACTATAATTACCTATATGTTATAAGTTATCGAATAAAATAACTTTTAACATTTTGAATAAATAGTTAATATTCAGTATTGCTTAAATGGCTACAACCAATTGATTATTGGATCATTTATTCGTTTTTTATATGCAATCAAATATTTTATAACAAGAATATGAAACAAAAAAAAATGTATGTTGGCATAATAAAAAGTAAAAAAAGTACTCTAAAAACATTAACTTTAAAAATAGTAAAAATATAAAAATATGTCGAAACGACTTCAGATTATTTCCAACAAAAAATAAGTAAATCATTGTTTGGTGATGAAAGAATTATCCGTGCAATAGAGATTTCCAGTTGCATCGCGAGTGTTTTAAATCACGGTGTAAAGACACCGTTCACACGATCCCGTTGATGGACGTCAATAAAAAATACGTGGTACGGCGGAACACGTTTGGAAATACAATATACATATATATATAATTATACATTATACATATTACATATATATGCATTATTGCGTTTTTCGAGTTTCCCAAACAATGGATGGTCGACGGAGTTATGCGACGGAAATAAAGCTCTCTTTTAACAGGTCAGTCCGCAATTTTGGCCCAATGCCCGTTTGTCGTCTACGTTCCTACACCCCCACCACATAACGATATCTAAATAAGTTCGGTACACTATTTTTTCTAAAAAATTTTTTTGTTAATAGCGAATCGACGCAACGGCAAACGTTTAGTCAGAACCGACACGAATCGCACAAGTCATATGGTCGCTTAACCAGGGACACGCGCTTATATTGTATTATCTGTGCACTCGTAAGTATACAGCTATATATATATACGTATATACACACATGCAAATATTTATATATATATATATATTGTGCCTATATGTATTATGTTTGTAGTAGACTAAAACGATCGCAAATCACTGCTTTTTTTTGTTGCTAATAAAATGTGCTATCTAATTATTTTTTTCGACAATTCAATAAATTATAATAATAAAATATTCTCACGATAAAGGTGTTTGAATAATAACCTAAAAATACAAAGCAGTTGGCTACGGAAATGTTGACATTTTCAATTTACTGTTTCATTTAATATAAATTAAATACTATTGAATACATATTATACTTAATATGGTTGGACCTGACTCCAGGTATAATTTATTGACAATTTTGATGAAATTGATGTATAATATTATAACTACCCGTCATATTATGACGTACCAGTTAATTAAATAAAACTTTTTTTAAGTGATTTCGTAAAGAATTAGTTACGCAAGTTATTATAGTTTGCATTATGATGAAAAAAAATTGTAGAACACTTTTTAAATTAACTGGGATAAAAAAATAAATATTAAATTCAATAGAATTTTGTATGTTATAATGAGATATACTTTTTATATTATTATACATAATAGTTAATAATATCAAGCTATGATGGTTTATAAACAAAGTATGTTGAGTTTGGTTACATAATTTTGAAAATTTAATTTTCCTTTTTTGTAGTAATTTGTAGTGCGTTTGTATAAATACTAATAAATTTTGTACAACTTATTAATGTTTAT